TTACTATTTTGGTTATGTTCCTTGAAATTCTTTGAGCCTCTGCTCACTGCCCCATTCCAAAGCTATTTCCACATTTAAAAAATTTGTTATAGCAAGATCTCACTCTTGATACTAACACCTGTATGTTTTCTATTGCCGCCATAACAAATTACCACGGACTTAATAGCTTACAACACAAATTTGTTATCTCACAGTTCAGTAGGCCCAGCGTCCAACATGGATCTCACGGGGTTAAAATCAAAGCGTCAACAGCGCTGTGTTCCTTGCTGTAGGCTCTAGGAAGAACATGCTCTTCCTCATTCAGGTTGTTGACAGAATTCAGGTCCCAGGGGCCGTAGGACTTCTTCAAAGCCAGCAGCAGAGGATGAAGCACCTCTCACACTTTGCATCTTTTAAGGGCTCCTGTGGTTACTTGGGCCCGTGAAAATAATCCAGAATAATCTCCCTACTCTTGAGGTCTTTAATCTTAATTCCACCTGCAAAATTCTCTTTGCCAAGTGTTGTAACATATTCACTGACTCCACGGATACCAAGGGGCGGTTATTCAGCTCACCGCACCTCCCTAGGAAGTGCCAACTCCTGCCCCCCGCCCCCGCCCCCAGCCTGCTCCCTCCAGCTCCCCAGAGTTCTCTCCTTCCCGATTTTCTGACCACCTTATAGGTCCTGGAACAGGTCAAGGTCTCCTCCCCCACTGGACCCTTGTTTGCGCTTGTCCTTCTGACTGGAGCACTGACACCACACCTCCCCCCCCCCCCCCCCGCTCGTCACCCTGTTCATCCTTAGGTCCCAGCAGTCGGCCCACCCACTGGGCCAGCACACCTCCGCAGTGATTGCCTTTGTGAGCCTGTTGTGCTATTACCGCCACCCTCCCCGACTTGGGGGTGGGCAAGGGGGCAGCCCGTGGTGCTCTGCATGTCAGCAGGTCCTGGCATCCACAATAGCACTAGCGAACAGTAGGTGCTCATTAAACCTCATGGACTATACATGTGGACCTAACAAGAGGCTGAGGAAGCTCAACCATCAACACCCTTTACTTCCTGGTCTTGTGAGGAACTCCCCGTAGTGTGTCCGCGGGGTCAAGGATTTTTGGAAAACTTGCAAAATCGAGATAAGTCTAACTACATCCAATTAGAGCCCTTGTCCAGTTAGAACTCCATCCCACTTCCCCTTATGTAGCTGATGCTGGAGAGGCTGTGACATTTTGGGGGCCCAGCCAAGAGGAAGGTGAATCGGGGACTGTCGCAGGTCGGGTTCTCTGGGAAGCACACGCTGAGAGAGTGACCAGGACTTTCCGGGGCAGGCAGCAGCAGGCCTTCCTGGAAGGGGCACGTGGACAGCACATCTACCACAGGGACACACGTGGTTTGGGGTTAGAATGAGAGGTTTATGTGGGTTGCTCCACTCCTGTGTATATGGTTAGCTCATTGTTCCTGTAGGAATGGCCTCTAGGGGCCTCCTGCTGGTCAGGAGACAGAAGTGCAAGGTCCTACCGCATTCGTAATGGAACCTGCCCCCACCGCCCCCAGTGCTCTGGGCTAGAGAAACCGTGGGCCCTGGAGGGAAAACAGGGTTTGAAAGAAGTGGAGCCAGAAGCTGGTCCTTGGAAAACCCTCCCAAGTCATTTGGCATCTGTTACGTAAGAAAGAAAGTTTCCCAAATTTGAAAACCAGCCAGGCCATTAATGGGACACCATCAATTGCAAGTTAAGAGAGAAATACATTTTCTAAACTATCAATAATTAAAACACAAATCTCAATCAACTATGTTAGAAGGAAGACTGAATTATCTTTCTATTCTCCATATGGGAACTATTTCCCCCCAAATTACGAAATCCTTATTCCTCACAGAGGCCAACAGATTGAGCAGCCAGAAAACATGGCGGGGGGGGAGGAATATTACAGAAGTGGATCAAGAAGACACCACAAATATGCTATTGTTCTGGATTTTGCATCGAAACATTTGCCAACTTTTTAACATTTGTAATTTGTCATGATTTCTTATGCTTTTAATTCACTTGTTTCTGTTTTTGAATTAATGATGTTATATTGTTTTTCTAAAACAGAGACCCCAAAATGCCCAGGCTCAGCACCCCCTCAACCTGGATTGCCTATGGCAGAGGGAAGGGAGGAGGGTGGGTGAGGGCCCCTTTCGGGAGGTCTCGCCCTCACTCCGCTTCCTGGGGCCTCGAAGCAAAGGCCACCCAGGCACCGGAGCACGTCTGAGACGCCACAGAGATGAAAGCGGCCAGGGCTCAGCGTCCATGCTGCGACCCCTGCTCAGGCCCTGAAGCCCAGCCAGGAGCCCTGGCTGACTCAGCCAAGCTGTCACCTTCTGGGCACCTCTCCCTCGACCACCCAAGTCTAACCTGATGGTCAAGTCTTCCCTCACCCCCTGGGGAACCCCCACAGAGTCCCAGAACAGCAGCTGTACTTCTGGGTGACACCCATGGGGAGGAGTCAGTGGGTGGGGGCAATGGAGCAGAGCGCGCCAGCCTGGGCCCCACCGCGCCTGGGCACCGAGGCTCAACAGGCCTCGTGCTGCTCTACGAGTGGAGAGGGGATCAGGGTCCAGGCTGGCTGGGCAGGACAGGCACGCAGGCCCAAACCTGGCCCAGGGCCTCAGGCCGCCCCCACCCCAGGTGGCCACCAGGCAGAGAGAGGCATATGTTGGGTCACCCACTCTGGGTGGGAGTCCCCTTTATTTGCGTTGGCTGCTGAGTGGCTAGAAGCTGCAGGTGGCCCTGGATTTGAGCCAGCAGGGCATCCAGCATGTGCAGGACAGTGAGGAGCAGGGCATGGTCTGAGACTGGGGTCCGCTGTTTACAGGGTCCCGAGATGTCCGTGGTCACCTTCAGATGCTGAGGATAGGACCGAGAGTAGGAGTGAGAGCAGAGGGACGGACGGAAGTGTGGTGCGGGGCAGCCATGGAGCTACGGAGAGGGGCCTGGGAGGGGGTTAGGCTGACGGAGGATCTGCGGGCTGGAGTGGGCCTGGGGTCCAGGGGGGCCGGGTGAGGAACAGGCGTCAAGGGGAGGCAGGGGAGGCAGGGTGCTGGCCAAGGGGTACGATCAGGGGCTGATGGGCGTGGACATTTGTAGGGACCGTGGGGTGTGAGTGGTTGGGGTGGGGGCAGCGGGAGCCCCGCACATGCGGGGAGGAGCACAGGAGGGCTCATGGGGTGTCAGTGGAGGAGGGAGGCCATGGGGACAGCGCAGAGCTGCGCTCACCTCGTTCTTGGTGCCACATAAGCGGCGCCGCCGCTGAAGCACCTTGCGGCTGATCACCAGCATCATGGTGGTGGTGAGCGTGAAGCCCGCCACGGGGTAGATGGGGTTCATCCCCAGGCCCATCCAGTGGCTGGGGCAGCCCGGGCTGGCCCCACAACCATCTAGGCTGTTTGGCTGGCACCCCCAGGGCTGCAAGTCCAGTCCCACCTGGTACCACAGGGGCCGAGACCAGGCCTGGGCAGGAGCAGCCATCACCAGCGGGAGCAGCAGGAGCAGGAAGCACGGCGGTGCGCTGGGCATGGCTGCAGTAAGAGCCAGCAGAACCCGGCGCCTGGCAACAGGAAAACGCCCCTCCCCCAGCCACAGGCCTGGCAGGGGCAGCGGGTTCCAGCGGGGCCCATGGCCTTTCAGGAAGAGCAGCCTGGCCAGAAAACATAGTGGAGCGTGATGGCGGGACAGTTCTGGGCCTGGGAGGGTGGCAAGGCGGGCCCGGGGCCCAGGACTGGGGGGCCGCCTCCTTTCCCTCTGCCTCCCCCACAGCTAACATCCACCCCCTAAAGTTCTAACCCCGCAGCCCCTGTTGCTGCTGTCCAGCAGAGCTGCTCAAAGCAGGTACCGCTCCCTCTTGGAATAAGGCCTGAGGCTCACCCTGGCCGCCCCTCCCGCCTCCCCAGGTTCCTGAACACAGCCGCTGTTCCCAACAGCAGGGCCATTGTCCTTCACACCCAGAAAAGGCACAGCGAGCTCTCTGGATCTTCCCTCCCATAATCTCCTTGGGCAGCACAGTCCCTTCTCCCTTGAGTGACCCTATTCATTTACTTCAAAGCATTGCTAAGAAGCTGCAATCTCTTGTTTGAGGTCTGCCCTCCACTCCAGCACATAAGCTTCACTCAACCAATATTTACCAAGGGGTGCCAAGTGCCACTCACTGTTTCTGGTACCAGGCACTGTTCCCGGTTCTGGGACACAGGGTGACCGAGTAGACAAACGCCATGACTTCCTGGGCTGAGATCTGGGGGTGGCACTGATACATGCTGAGCTAGAAACAGAGCCAGACAAGGTGACTTAGGCCTTGGAGGGCGGCACAGCCTCTGTCTGCATGCCCAGGCCCAGTTCCTGGCGTTCTGTGGCATTTCCTCATTGAATGCCCAGTGAGCAACACAGGAGGCAGGTCCTGTCACCGCTCCTGCTCTATGAGGAGACATCAGGCCCAGGAAGATCCCAGGGCCTCCCACCCACCAGTCACTCAGAGTATCTGGTGGCCAGAGATGCTGCTGCTGCCCGCTGGGCCACATGCCCAGGTGTTGTTTTGTGGCGAAGATCGGCACATGCTTCTTGGCCGGCAGGGACCTGCAAAGCCCAGGAGCCCTAATGGGAAGAGGCACCTTCCCAAGTAAATCAGTCCTGCGCGCTCTGACTTCCAAATGCAGGAGGGCAGCACCTGTGAACCCCTGCGCTGCCTCAGCTGGCTGCTCAGGCGTTCACCCTACACCTCCCAGTGACACCTGCCCCGCTCCCTGTCGGGTGGCCCTGAGAGCAAGCCATTCGCAAGAGGCCGCTGATTCCAACTGTGTACTGTACAACCAAGATCCAGGCACCAAAGGCTGTGCGTGGCTGGGGAGACACTTGAACCTGGGTGCCCCCTCCCCCAGGCCTGGCCTCACAGCTCTCCTGCCTGCCCCCAACTTTTAACTCAGCCTCCCACTTTGGAGCATAAGAAGGGTCAGGAGCCAGGGCTATGGACCCCTGACCTCCACCAAGCCACAGCAGAGCCTTGTGTTGGGCAAATGAGTCTTTATTCCCGCCGCTGAAAATACACATGCCGCTCCGCTCCTGCCCTGGCCGGTACCCCAGCCCAGGCCCAGGGCACTGTGCTCGGAGTCCCAGGACCTCCATCCCTGAGTCGTCTGTGTCTGTGCGTACGGAGGGGCCTCCTGGGCGACGCGGGGAGGCAGTGCAGGGGCGAGGGGTGCTCACAGGTGCCCCGTCACAACCCCCAGAGGTAGGCAGTCTCGGGCAGGGCGGCAGCACGGTCAGAGTTTGGTGGTCTGGGCGGGCAGATGAGGGGAGGTTCCCGTCAGTTACCAAGGGCACATACCGGCCCTCCCCCCCGCCGCCCACAGCAACCTCTGCCCCAGGAGGAGCTTCACTTAAAGGCAGGAGGGGAAGGCAGTGGTCTACTGGGGTCAGAGGCATTCAGGCAGGGTGAGGACTTCCTGGAGCTGGGGTCAGGGAAGGGACAAGCAGCAGATAAACACAAAATTCAGTGGACCAGAGGTGAGCTCACCAAAACAGGGCTGACTTGGTTGGACCTCGGGTGTTGGAGGGCAAAGATGACTGCGTCGTGGACAGAGGCAAAGAGGTGCTGCTTAGTGATGGACGCATCAAAGAAGTGCCCGGTCTCAAGCTGGGCCACCACAGGAGCTGTTGGCAAGGAATAGGTCTCTCCTGACCCGGAGAGCCACCAGGAGCGCCAGCCCCAGTCACCAGCAGGGTGCTCTGACCCACGTCACCAAGGCCTCCCCCCGAGATCACAGCTGATAATTCCTAGTCACTCTTGGCCTTTGACCCCTGCCTCCCAGGAGACCCCTGGCCTCCAGTTTCAGAGAAAGACTTTTTCCTGGCAGACTCCTTGGCCAGAGCGCCACCCGCCTCCTGAACCACTCTCACGGTCCCAAGCCACGCACTGTGGCAGGCAGCCATGTACACCTCCACCTCGATCTCCCGGAAGTCGTGGAAAATCTGCAGCAGCAAAGGGGGCCCGATTCAGAGGGAGGGGCGGGGGCTGCAGGGGGAGACTTGGGCGGGCCGGCGGGAGGGGGTTGAGAGGGGAAGTCCAGCAGGTTTGGGGGACAGGAGGCTCAGAGGGCTCCAGGAACGAGTGACGGGGTCAGGGTAGAGCCTTGAGGCCCTCTCCCTCCCCCAGCGCCTTCCCAAGGGCGCCCCGCCCCTTACACTCTTCAGGCTCTTGAGGCACACAGTGTCTACAAAGGAGAGGGCACTTAGGTCCAGGACAAGGCTGTGGAAGTCTGGCTGAGGCAGGCCCAGGGCCTTCAGCGTGAACCGGTCTGGGGCCTCGGCACCTTCTTGACCACTGGCTGCCGTATCCTCTAGTTCATTCTCTGTGCTCACCTGCTGGGGAACCAGACATGCTGCGAGGGCTGCCCAGGACAGGGTGAAGCAGCGACAGCACAGAGACAGGCAGGGACACTCAGCGTTGGGGGTGGAACAAGCATGTAAACACCCACATACGTGGGGCATGCAGGGGACACATGAGGACACGGATATGGGGAGCCTCCTGTATGTAGACAGGAGGGACATTGAGGGACACACAGGAGAGGACACCCAGGCTCAGGGAGCACACACATACACACATACTGCTCTGTCACCTCCTGGGCTTAAAGGGACACTTTAGAAGGATTGCCCTGGAGACCGGGCCCCATCCTCGGTCAGCCAGGGTGGGGTGGGAAAGGGGCCGCGGAGCGGACCAGGGGACATGTGCACACCTGTGCACGTGCAGACACCCCGGCGTCCCGCCTGTGTCTCTAATGGAGCTTGGCATCCCCTTTGGTCCCACATTTCTCTCCGCACACCTGATGCCTTCCCCTCTACCCATGAGCACAGACTGTGGGGTCCTGTGGACTACAAATTCAAGGTCACCATTGAGGCCTCTGCTCACAGGCAGGAAGCCACAGCCGAGTTCCTTGCTTATCACTAGAGATCCCTCCAGAATGTCTGCTCCATCGCCCCAATCTTCCTGCCACCGACACCATCGCCATGAACCCACAGGTCATGGCTTTCCTCACCAGACACGTCAGGACGCCCCCATCTCCACAGCTCATGGCTGGCCCGTCCCACCTCCAGCCTCACCTTGGCCTTGGAGCCCTCCACGCTGTTGCTCTCGGTGTCTCCATCATTCGTGTTGACATCGATGGAAATGGAAGTGGCCTTGGAGGCAGCGGCCTAGGCGGGGAGAGGGGGGGCAGGAAAGAGCTGTCCCAGTGGCCACACAGCAGCCGTTCCTGGCAGGCCCGGGTATTGACCTCTGGCTCTTGGCAGGCTGGGAGCCAAGGCGTGGGGCCCGAGGCCAGGCTGACGGCTGCGGGGCCTTGGCCAGCTCCGACAGCCACGAACGGAAGGGGACTGTGGCGGCCTGTGCTGTCTGTGGCTCGGAGCGGAGAGGAAAGCAAGACCCCACCACCAGGGAACAAGAGGCGGGGGAAAGGACGAGGGGTGCAGTCAGGGACCCTGGGGGCTGGGAGAGAGGCTGGGCGCGGCAGTCATGGGCCAGGCGGGCGCGTGACACTGGCTCATCGGGGCCCTTGCCTGCGCCTGGAGCTTCTCCTTCTGCAGTCGCTTCAGCTTCAGCTCCTGCTTCCTGAGCAGCTTCTTCTTCTGGGAGATGAGGTGGTCCACGTCCACGCCACACTAGAGGCGAATGTCCGGTAAGGGGATGTGGGCGTCTGGGGAGGCGAGGGGCCCTCCGACGCTGACCCTGGGGACCCGAAGCCTCACCCTCTGCTTCAGCGCGTCACTGTAGAGCTCAGCATTGGCAAAGTACATGGTGGCTGAAGAGCGGAAGACCTTCACGCCTGGGACCTCCCTGGCCTGGGGATGGGTCATGGTGCAGGTGGCTGAGCCCTCTCTCTCCCAGTGGCATCTGGTTCTCTTGCCTCTCCCCACCGGGTACCCCAGTGCCCGCCACCCCCAAGCCTTCTGCTCCCCGGCTCACACCGCTTTCAGGGCAGAGCCCGGGTCCCCGCTGGGCGTTCAGGCCTGTGCAGTGTGCCCGCCACACACCACCACCCCGCCCCCGCCCCGTACCTCCCTTCCCATCCAGCCAAGCTGCTGCCCTCATGTCCTCCCCTCGCTCTGCCTGATCGCCCTGTGCTCGGCCTTCAAGGCTCCATGTCAGAGGAATGGGCTTGTTTTATTCCAGAGGCCCCATCTCTGTTCCCAGCACTTGGCATGGGACTTCTCAGGAAATCAATGAATGACAGATTTAGTGACTCCATCCGGTTTTTAAAACAGGAGAGAAAAAAAAAAAAAAAAAAAGGCAGCCTCCCTGACACCCTGGTGCTCCAGGATCCTGCCCCTCACACATTCCCCGCCGGGGCTACTCGACGGCATGGGACCGGGACCGCCGGCGCCAAGAGACCCCGCCCCAGGCCCTCACGCCCATCTCTGTCCCCTCATCCTCTGGCCCCTCGTAGCCCCTCATGATCTGAGTGGGGGCCATAGATCCAAATCCCTCCCTTGAAATCCCAAAGACCAAAGTGTTCCTGTCAAGTGTGGAAGGGACTGACAAAGGCCCATTGTGCCTCTGCCCTCCCCCCTCCATGCCTCGCTCCTGCCAGCCCCGGCGCTCACCTCCAAGTACTCTGCCACGTCTCTGTAAATGTCTGTGTCTGGAACCTGCCCCAGGACAGAATAGCGGGGCCTATGGAGAGGTCGAGTCTGAGTTGGGGGCAGGGGGCCACGCATGAGGAGGGGCAACAAGGAGGAACTGGGAACCTGGGGTCACCCCAAGATGCGGGAAAGCTGGGGGAAGCCAGTGTGGGCCTCATCCCTCACCAGCTGGAAGTGGGGGCGGGTCCCAGAGGGGAAGACTCACAGCTGCGTGCGGACCACCACGAGCAGCAGGGAGAAGACCACTGCCACAGCCAGGCCCAGGTCCAGGTTCAGCAGGACGGTGGCCACGAAGGTCACCAACCAGATGAGCTACAAGCAGAAGGGCAGTGCTCAGCGGGGTCTAGCGAGGCCACTGGGGCTGAAGACCCCCGCCCCCCAGGCTCCCAGGCCTCTCACCAGATCCACACGGTTTGCCTTCCAGAGGGAGCAGGTGTCCCCGAACTGCCTCAGCATGCCCTTCAGGTTCACAATAACGACGGCCGCCAGGACTGCCTGCGGCGGGGGTTGGGGGGGCGTCCCGGGGCTGCTGAGGGGGGCCCGGAGGCTGACAGCCCTGCCCCCCAGGGCACGAGCCAGACTGACCCCAAGCACCTGAGCACAACAGCCCCAAACAGGTGCAAACTACCCCTGCCCCCTGAACTTGACGACTTGGATGTGACTCTGAAAGGTTCTTACCCTTGACCCTTGGCTCCAAATCTCACCCCAAAGATCTCAACCTTGAAAAACAGGGTATGACTTCATATCCCTGTCCCTCACCTGTCACCTGTCTAATCTGGGCCTCTGGTTGGCCAAGGCCCTCAAGCCTGCCTGGGTGGGGGAGGGGGCTTACCTTGGGGAGGTCTTGGAAGAATTCCCCAAGTTTGACGATGATAACGAGGATGAAGAGGGAGGAGATGGCTCCAGCCACCTGTCAGGTAGGAGTGAGTGGGACGGGGTGGGGGGTAGAAGGTGGGGAAACTGGGACACTAAGCGGGGATGGGATCGCCCAGTCAAGCCATCTGTGTGCCCAGATGCACAGCCCTGCCCACGCCGGAGCCCCACCTGCGTGTTGCCCCCGGTGCTCTCCTGGACCAGGCTCCGGGACATGGAGCAACTCACGGGGAAGCACTGGAAGATGCCCCCGATGAGGTTACTGAGGCCAAGGGCCACCAGCTCCTGGTGGGGAAGCACAGCCATGAGGAGACTTCACCAGCAGTGCCTGGTCACTTCGCCACTGTGTCTAAGCCTACACGTCCCCACCCCCACCCCTCCTCAGCAGCCCCAAAGACAGGCTGCTGTCCCACCCTCAGTCTCCACAGGGTCCCGGCGCATCTGTTCGCTCTCTCCCTGTGTGCTACCTGCCACGCCATCCTCCCACGCCCCAGGTCTCCCGCAACCAGGCTGCCCCACGTGCCCCCCAGACCTGGTTGCCGTCCACCCGGTAGCCATGCCTCAGGGCGAAGATCTTCCCCAGCGAGATGGCAATGGCGAAGCCAACCACGGCGATGGCGAAGGCGTTCCCCACGAGCTTTGCGAACAGCTCGGGGCTGGGGGCCACCGGGGGGACCAACCTGTGAGGGGCACCTGTGAGGCCAAAGGAAGGTGCTGGCCCTGGCCGCCCTGCCTGCCCTGCCCTCCGGGAGCTCACCCTGTAGGGATGTTGCCCACGACATCCACCCCGAATCTGTGCTTCAGACCCACGCCGTAGGAGATGCCTGTGGCCCCGATGAGCTGGGGGGGAGGACAGAGTCGGGGGCGGAGGGAGGGAGATGGGGGAAGGTGCCAACGATGCCAATCAGGGGCTTTCTGCCTGGTCCCTGCCCCCGCCCCCTCCCCTGTGCTGCTCCAGCTAGTCCTTATGTGCCTGGGGCACGCCCACAGGGACAGCGCCTCATTTGCCCCCTCCCCTGCCCCTTAAAATCCAAACCGTGAGCAGTTCTCCAGGGAACGGCAGGGGCAGATGTCGCCGCAGCTTGTCATTCAACAGCTTCACTGCCACAAGCACCACTCCTGCCACAAATGCGGTGACCACAGTGCCAACCACACTCTGGGGCAGCTTCCAGCAGACCTCCAGCACTGTCTGCGGGGGCGGGGGGGTCACAGCCAGTGCTCCAGGTCACGGTGCACACGCCCCAGCCCTTCTCCCAACCCCACTCACATAGATGAGGGACAGCGGTCCAGAGAAGCTGCTCAGATGGAGTCCAAACACATACTTGAGCTGCGAGACGAAGACGTGCAGGGCTGCGGCTGTGGTGTAGCCGCGGACCAGAGGCTCTGACAGGTAGGTGACCACAAAGCCGAAGTGGACCAGGCCCAGCCCCACCTGTGGGTTGGCCGGGGGCAGTCAGGGAAGACAGGGGTCCTAGGGGTGGCTGAACCAGAGCCCAGGGCAGGAGGGATCAGAGGGGGACGTGATGAGAAGGAGCGCGGTCACGGTCAGACGCCAGGAGGGTGGGAGTGGGCTTGGCAGCAGGCGGCACTGGGGGGCACACCTCCCGGACCGCTCCCCACCTGGAAGAGGCCAACCAGAACACTGAGCGTGGAGGCCAGCTGCACCCGGGCAGCGTCTCTGGCCGCCCTGTCGACTGTGGAGTTCGAGGCCTGCAGGAAGGCCTCATCTGGAGCCAGGGATTCCATCACACTGCCTACCATCACAGACATGACAGCAAAGGTGCCTGCGGGGACAGGGCAGGTCTGAAGGGGAGAGGACAGCGCCCTACCCTGGAGCCCTGGTCATAAGGGAGAGTCCGGGAGACCGCAGTTCTGGACAAATGTCCTCAGACAGCGCCATGCAATAGGGGCAGTGCCGGCAGTCAGGCGGGAACCGCGGGCTCAAAGGCTCCTGGGGTGGCTGGAGATGTTGGCCCCGCGACATCTACCTTGCCCCAGCTGTGCGCATTGGCTCAGGGCCATTTCCCTTACAAAAGGTGGAACGGGGACGTGGTCACAGCCTGGCTCAAGCTATGAGGCCTATGCCAAGTTCTAGACCCCTCGAGTTTCCTCACCCACCCACGTCCTCCCAGAGCCAGGGCCTCTGGGTCCCTGAGTCTGCAGCCCCTGGCTCAGAGGCCTAGTCCAGCCTGGGAACGACCCTTGGGGGAGTCTCCCAGTGCCCTGCACCAATACTGCCCTCTTTCCTAAGCTCTCTTGTCCTGCTCAGCCCTCCCTCGCCCTGTCCTCCGTGGGAGATGTGGGTGTTCTCCTGCCAGGCTGGGCCTGGCCCCGCTTACCCACAGAGATGTGCCGGGAAGTGCCAAACAGGAAGTAGACAAAGACAGGGTAGAAGGAGCTGTAGAGGCCAAACACGGGGGGCAGTCCAGCCAGGAGAGCGTAGGCCAGGCCTGGGGATGGGGAACGGTGGCAATATGGGCTTGGGCGCTGGACTTTGAAAGGGCAAGGAAATCCCAGTACCAAGTCAGGGGCCATAGCTCAAGGGCAGGGGTCAAGGCTTCGGGGTTCTTTTGAGGGAGAGGATTTCAAGGCCAGGGTCACCACCCAGAGGCTGCGGTACAGCCTCTGGATCAAGGGTGACTCACCCTGTGGTAGCTGCATAATGGCCACACTCAGGCCAGAGAGCAGGTCACCCAGGAGCCAGTCATGCACAGGATACTGGGGCAGCCAGGCCAAAACTGGGAGGTGTCTGAGCAGGAGGGCTCGGGCCCGAGCACGGGAGCACCTGGGGACACACGGATAGGTATCAAGGACAGGGGCTATCTAAGTCCTGCCAGTGTCCCCCGAGTCCCCCTCCCGCAGCCTTACTGAAACCAGGATCGCCACTGGAGGGCCCCAGTGGCTGGGCCCCAGCGCCCCAGCTCCTCCAGCTGTTCCTGGGTCAGTAGTGGCCGTTCCACGTGGTAGTCTCGCCTCTTCAGTTCCATTGCTTCGGTTGTGGCCAGCAGTACCTGTGTGTCCCTCGGTCTGGGGTGGCGATACCAGAGACACAGTGAGGGCACCTCCCCCACACCACACTGCATCAGAGGGTCACCAGCCTGACTTTCCTAGGCCCCAAGATCTAGGGTCCAGCCTCCCACTGGCCCCACGCCCAAGTAGCATTACTATCTGAACTTTGGCTAGTGGAAACCTCTTGCTGGCCAAAGTCCCCGCCAAGAGACAGCAGGTGAGCACACTCCACACCCTCATCACCCCAAGTGTTCTACCAGCCCAGCTCTGGCTGGCTGCCCCTCCAGCCTCCTTCCCTGAGCCCTCTGATGTCTCCCAGCCAATCTCTATTCAGCCTGAGTCCTTTTCCAGCTGCCCCATGAGCCCTGTGCTGGCTGTCTGAGAGCAAAGGCAAGGAAGGGCCCAGCAAACCAGGGGTCCAGTTCTTCAGGCACAAGGATCTTCAGATGAGACCCTCCCCTCTGAGGGAAGGAAAGTACAGGGGCTAAGAGTGCCCCTGGGCCTCCAGCCCCAGGGTCCAGGTTGTAGACAAGCTGAGCCTAACCCAGGAAAGCCGGGGATGGCTCTCACCTGGAGAGAAAGGGGTCTCACCTGGGGGGAGAGGCTTCCATCTGGAAAGGGAAGTTTCCACATGACAAGAAATTTTTCACCACCCGGTAAGTTTTGTCCTGGGAAGAATCTCTGATCTACCCAGAAGCTCCCACCCAAAGAGGTGAGGTGGTCTCACTGGGGAATAAGAGATCTGGGGGGAGCTCTCACCTGGGGGAAGCTGCCCTGGAAATCGGAACTATGGGAGAGTGAGCTAGCTCTACCTGGCCGGAAGCCTCAGCAGCTGGGGAAGTTTTTACCTGCCAGGAAAGTTCTGATCTCGAGGGTACTCTCCCACCTAAGGGAAGCTCTCACCTGGGCGAAGTTCCCACCTAGGAATAGATGTCACAGGGGGCATCTTACCCGGAGGAAAGCTCTCCCCTGTTGAGAAAGCTTTCACCTGTCAGGAAAGCTCTGCTCTGTGGAGGAGGATCCCATCCGAGGAGCAGGAACTCACCTGGGAAAAGCCTCTACACTGGGTGTCCCGATGGGAGGAGGGAGAGTGCAAAGATCCTCAGAGACTTGGCACCACAGTCTCACGTATCTTTGAGCCCCTTCAAGCGTCCTCCCGGCTGGAGTCGCTCAGGTCTTCCCCACCCCAGCGGGACTCGTGCTTGGAGGGCGGGACTTAGAGCCTCCGCCCCTCCTTGGGTAGAGTACAGAGGCCAGAACCCCAGCGCTCATTCCCGGACCGGTAGTACAGCTGGGTGAGCTCAGGCCCCCGCTACGGACTCCCTCGCAGCGACCTCCAGCACCAACGCGCCCCGCCAGCGGGCGTCCTGGGCCGCGGCCCCTCCGCATGTAGCTGCCTCCCTGCCGCCCCTAGCTGGCTGCAAGGCAATGCTCGAGCTGCTTTCCGCACAGCGCTCGGGGCTGGGGTCGCGCCGGCTCCCGCCCCCAGCCCCATTCCTCGCTGCGGTTGGGCAGCCGCCAGCAGAAAGTCGGGAAAGCAGTAAACCGAGGCGTCTCAGGCGGGAAATGGCTGCTCCAGACTTAGCGGTGCTCGTTCCGAGCTAACCCAAGCCAGGCGCCTGCGCGAGGGCCGGGCGGCGGCCGGCGCCTCGCGGACAGCGGGAACCCGGGCTGCGCCCTGCACTCACCCCGACGCTTCCGACAGCCATGAGGTGGGCGCGCTGCCACGGGCCAGAGGCTCTAACAGCTCCAGCCCCAGGGCCGCCGAGGGCCGATGGGCGGGACTGAGACTGGGCCGTTGTCTGCGGCGCGCACCCGAGGGCCAATTCTCGGGCTGGACGAGGATCCCTTGGACCAATCAACCTGCTTGGGCGGGGCCTCAGCACCGCTTTCTGGGCGGGGCGTGCCCCGAAGCGAAAGATTTTCAATTTAACACCTTCCTTCCCAGCTCTCCTGCCTGAGCCTGTTGGAAGTGCAGAACTGGGACCCGCAGCCCCAGGTTTCTGAGAGGGATAGGTCTGATACCAGGTCCTGACTTCCTTGCGGCGGGTCTCCGCGGGATGGGGAAGGAAAATCCCGAAGTAGGCAGGATGCCTGGGGGTGCGGCTGGTGACCAGAGCCTTAGCCCTCCGTGGCAGGTATGCGGGTCCGCGGGGCATCTCTTGTCTTTGAGGGCGCCACCCTCAGGCTTTGACTGGTTAGGTCTCTGAGACAGTAGGCGCCCAAAGCCTCCCTTCAACTTTGGACACCCCGACCCAAACCAAGGCTGAGGTTCTCCTCCCCGCACGTAGCACAGCCCCAACCAACGGCTTGCCCAAGGTTTCTGCTTGAACGCAGCTGTCCCCGGCGGCCCTAAATCCTAGAGGCTGGTCAGGGCGGTCAGTGGGCTGAAGGATAAGCAAGGACGGTTCCTAGACTTAGTTTGACCCCTGGCCAGGGCAAATGCCTGGTTAAGGCTGCAGACTACCTGTAAGGCTCAGGAAGTCAACATGCTGCTGCCTTTGTTACTGGGGAGACGTGAGCTGGGGGCTCCCCCTCCTCGGTTCTTGTCTTGGATCAAACGAGATGAATTCAGTTGAGAGGCACCATGTATAGTGGAAATGAGATAGCAAGTTTATTTATGAAATACGCTTGAGGAAGAAGCTGCAAGTGGGCACCCAGCTAGTCTGAGTGCCCCGACTATTGGGATTTTAGGCGGTTGGTTTGTTTGTTTTGTTTTTTTGGTAGCCAGCTTCTAAGTTCCCGCTCCTACTAGACCTTGAGATTAATTACAGTTTCAAAGGCTTTCTTTCCCAGATAGTGGAACCATTACACACAGAACTTCAAGGGCTCCCCTCCTCCTGCGCAATCGCGGTTTTTCTTGTGATTTTCGAAACACCTGGCAATCTTATCTGTCCAGGCCCGGGACTGCTGAACGCATGAGTGAGCCATGTCTCCCTCCCCCTCGCTGCCTTGGTTTGCTATCCAGCCTTCCTAACACCTTGACAAAGGAGGGGGTTCCTCTTGGGACCTTACTCCTGGCACCTGTGCTCACACTGCAGGCCCCATCACAAGGTGAAAGGCCAGAATTGAGGGTAAAACGGGCCTGGTCCAAATGGCCTGTGAAATGGGCTAAAAATAGCTGAACATTCTTAGGAGGAGGTAGTGCTCAGGTTTCTCCCAAAGGTCAGCCTGGCTAGAGTCATTCACAGCCACCCTCCTACCGCACCAAACAAAAGAGACAATAACCATTTTCTATAGAAGTTTATTCCCAAAACAGAGCGCGGCTTCACGGAACAGTTTACACAGACAAGAAAAGGGGCCACGGGGCTGAAGGGGCGACCCCGGGATAGGGGCATCTACAGAACCTAGGACATAGCAAGAACCACCCCTCTCCTCACAGTGGACCCCTCAGCCCTTCAAGGGCTGGAGTCATTCCGGGTGAGGAGAGCTGGGGTCCTGGCTGGCGGGATTTGGCACCAGACAGTAAAGTAGGACTTTTAATCTCCTTGAAAACTGCCTCCCAAGAGCATGTGTGAGGGAGCGGGGGGTGACTGCACAGCCCCCACCCCAACACACACACACACACAACCCTACACACCACTTTTCCCAGTGGCAAGAGGATGCCTACTCTTGAGCTTCTGGGTCTGCTGTTCACCAGGGAACTCAGGGCTGACCTTTGGCCTGGGAGAGCTAGGGGTCAGCAGCCCCTCCAGGTGGCCAGGTCAGAGTCCTCATAGGTGAGATCCTCCAAGCCCCTCTCCCACTTTTTCTACCTTCCTCTTGTAAACAAAGGGGGGGAACATTCTCAAATGTAAACAAAGTGTAAAAGTTCAAAGTCCCAAGTTGTAAACAAAGTTTTAAAATGTTTTAAATTTTGGCCTGTAAACAAAGTAACAAAATGTAAAAGTCCCCAGTTCTGGACATCAGACAAAGTAATAAAAAGGAGAGTTTTGTGAACAGGGTCCTAACAGTCTTTTCTCCCTTTAGGAGGGATTCAAGGAGGGGTAGAACTGAGTCACTTCTTGCTGGCCGGGGTGCCTAGGGCCAGGGAGGTTCCTGTAAATGTGCGGCAACTCCATTCCCCCGTCCTGCTCCCTCTCCTCACCCTCCTACCCCACCCTTTAGAATAAATTTTAGCTGAGGGCAGCGTCAGGGAACTGAATGGCACCACAGACAAGTTTTGCTCACAGCAGGGGCTGAATAAAGACCCCTGAGTCCACCCTCTGCAGGAATGTCTGATTGGAGGCCTGAGCCCCTCCCCGTGGGAGAAAGGGAAGCCTTGCTCTGTAAACATGTCATCTGCTGCTCCACCAGCACTGACAGCATCAGTCCTAGGTCATAAGGCAGTAAGTGGCAGGGACTCCACATAATAAACATCCATATCCGCAGGGCGAGGAGGGGAAGGGCCGCCTGAGCGAACCCCAGTGAGGAGGTCAGAGGACCCTTGTTTCCAAGACCAAGCCCCAGTCTCAGAAGTTTGGCCCTTGGGCATCCAAGAAAAAGCAAAGGTCAGTTCTGCACTCTGGGCCCTGACAATATTCAGATCACCCCCGGGGCACAGGAACCATTTGCCCCAATCTACCCGAGTTAGATGGGAAAAAGAGCACATGGTCGGCCAGGAACCCAAATGGAGCCAAATTCTGCACCTCTTTCCCTCTGTCCCCCTCCCCCTCCCAGCGCAGCCTCAGAACCCCAGGCAACAGAAAAGCTGAAAAATAACATAAGCATATCTCTCTGGTTACAAAGGTACAAAACGTATAAAAGTCCCCCCTTCAGTTCCCAGGCCCTGCACACCTGTCACACGCGTGTTCGCCGCTCAAGGACGAGCGTGGACGCTCAGCAGCGCGGCAACGGGGAAGGCCGAGGGCTGCCTTCGGGTCAGCATGGACTCCTGGACTCTCTTCTGTCAGCCCGGATCCTCCATTGCCCTCAGCTGCTCCTCGGCGGCCCGTCTGCCCCTCAGGAGTGACCCTCACTTCTGGTAACTCTGCGGGATTGAAGGAAGAGATCAGAGCTGGCTGCTGAGGGGACTCTGGACTCCCCCCACCCACTGGGCCTGGGCCGCCTCCCCTCACCTCCCCAAGCACCTTTGCCTCTCGGCCCCTAGCTCCTTCATGCCCGTCCTGGGCTTCTCCAGTCCCTCCGGCCCGCTCCGGACCCCCAGGCCCATCAGCAAGGCTCCTTGGCTGGCCACTTCCATCTTTTCTCTGAGCACTTAGCAAGCACCTACTATGCACAGACCCCATGTTAAGCTTGACAGATTTTCATCTCAAAAATCTCCACATCTTAGAGTTTGTTATTACAGACACGTTTTGCAGATAAGGAAGCTGAGGCTGAGAGGTGTCAAGCGGGGCTCCAAAGCCTGAGCCCCTGCTCAGTGCCCCAGCTCCAGAGCCCCAACAGCCAGACCCCAAGGCTGAGCTGCAGGACGGCCCGGATGGTGCTCACACCAGAACCGCTGGGCACCAGGCCCCCAGCTCCCTTGCCCTGCTCGCTCTCCTTCCTTTCTTCTCCCCAACTCTGCTCAGATTCTGTTGCTCTCCT